CCCTGCTCCTCGCGTGTCATGACGCGGGTTTGGCGACCCAGCCGGGGTGGGCCACCACACCCCCCCGCCCGCACGCCACTCCTATTCGGTTTATCTGGGTCACTCGTAGTTATGACGAATTGTTCGGAAGGGGTGGTTGGTGGCTGGTGCCTGGGCCAGCAAGGGGTCGGGGGTCGGGGGTGGGTCCGCCTGCCCGGCCCACCTGTGTAATGGGATTAGCGGCCGGACCGGCACTGTGGGCCGGCCTGCCTGCTGCCTCCTGGGGGCGCGGCCGGCCTGGCTGTTTTTGGCCGCCAACTTTGGTCCTAGTGACCCCCCAGTGAGGCCACCAAGGGGCTTCAGCTGGACGCGGAAGACTGGCTCTTGCGCTACCCCGTTTACCCACATACTCGGCGCTGCTAGCAGACGACGCACCCGCCGGCACAACAAGCAAGCAGACGACGGCGGTTTGTGCCCCTCGGCTGCCGGGCCGAGCCGAGCCGCGCTGCCCCGCGGGCCGCGCGCCGCGCGAGGCCTGCCTCTCTCTCTCTATGCCTACGCGCGAGCCGAGCCTGCCGAGCCAGCTGAGGCTGCTGCGGCGGGCATTCGTACCGCGGCCAGCTGCGCGGCGGGGCTCGGCCGGCATCGCGCGCGTAACCGGACGGACGTATACCGCGAGCGCCGGCACGCACGACGGACAGAGCCACGCGCCTCGACGGGCGACAAGAGGATCGTCCGCGTATCTCCTTCCCCACCGGCCACCCCAAGGTGCGGATCGGTCGCAACGGCGACGCAACGGCCCGGTGCTGGGCTTTAGTCCAGCCGCCTGACCAGCGCTGAAGCGCCGCAGCCCCTTTGTTCAACAAGTGGGCCGTGCGGGACGTGCCGTTGTACAGCGCCCCCCGGCCCCCGCGGCACTCGCACCCGCGGCGCACTGCGCACCACGCAACCTTCAGATCACGGGTGCACCGCGTCGCCGTCCTGGGCGCGAGACGAGTGGGACCACCGTCTTCTGGTCTTCTTCGCTGTGTGTGTGTGTGAAAAGGAAAACCTAGACGAACGCCGCTTCTACAAGCGACTCGCGCGCGCATCTCTGCGTACTCGTGCGTTGTGCTGCGTGTGACTCCAGCACCTGCTGGGTCGGGGTCAAAGGTGAAAGGGAAAGGGGTACAGTGGATCAAACACGTGTCTCAGGCCGCGCTCTGGTTGTCAGCGTTCATTCTCTTTCCTTGTCGTGGGAACAGCGGTGCCCTCCCTCCCCCTTCTCGCGGCGCTCGGAATGTGGCATGTGGCCCAGGAGACTGGCGGCCCCCAGTCACTTGTCAGTGCACTGACAGCGTTGGGCCCGAGATTGGGTGCGTGCGCCAGCAGCGAGGCTGTAGGTGACTGGCGGGCTGCGTGGCGGGAGTGGATTGTGTCGCAGATGATTCGACGCAGCAGAGGTCAGCTGGTGCAGCCCGAACGCCCACCCCTATGATGGGGCAGTATCGCAGCGCTCGCCCTTGTGGCTGCGCGTCGCTCTCGCAGCTCCTGTGGCGCCTGTTTCATTGTGTGGTTAAGGAAAGGGATGTGTGTGTGTGTGTGCGTGTGCGCGCGTTGCATAGCCGCCGTGTGCTCACGCCAGCCCCGTGTTATTGTCCCAGCCCACGCTCCGCTACGCTCCGCCATGCTCGCGGCGCGGCGCAAGAGTATCGCCCGCGTTCGCTTGTCCCGCCGTCATTCACTTCGCCTCGCCGCGCACCAACCCATTCGCAAATCTGCATGACGATATGTAGACGGCCTTCTGGGTGGCTTTACAACGTCAGTCGGCGCGCGGCATGTGGGTGCACTGCACTGTCCCAGCCTGGCTGTCCAGCAGCTATAGGCGACGACTACGGACTCCTTAAACAGGACGACTTGGATCAGGTCAGCCTCTCGCTGTCGTTGACACATTCTGGTCTGCCGGCTACGCGATATTCCATATAGAGTACGTCCGTCATTCGCTTTTACGAATGAACCTTGCTGCCAGTCCGTCCAGCCCCTGCAAGCTCTCAGAGCGCCTGGTTAGGTAGGCAACATCTTGCCTGCGGCGCATGCGTGTATAGCGGGGCGGCCTACCCTGAGCATCGCAGGCGCCGAGCTCCCAATCCGCCGAATAAATCTGAGCAAAGCGGATGCACGATGATTGAAGTGAACAAATGGACGCAACGCTCGTGGGTACCATCAGTCGCCCGGCGATTCTGAAGGTTTCCATTATAGGAGGCTGAGCCAGGCTGACTTGTGTCTTCTTAGTTTCCGGCCCCGGACACTCGCTAGAAACCCGGGATTTACAGTTTGAATGTTGGTTGTCCTCCCGACTACTGTGGGCCCACGAGGCAAGAGCCTGACAAACATGTGGCGTGCCTGCCTGGTGCATCGGATGCACTGCTTCCTCTGAAAGCCCCATGACGACGAGGTGGTGAAAGCCCCCCCCCCCCC